GTCCCCCGCAATAGGCCTTCGAGTCAAAAACACAGGGACTGATCACGAACACCAATGTAATGGAAATACCTGCAAATATACTGGAAATGACGAAAAAATAGATCAAAAATATACAGATAAGGGTTAGACGAAATGTTTACCACAAAGATGGAGTCACCGCTAAAAGATCGAGATAATTTGGAAGTGATCTATAATTTGATCATTATCCATGGCAAAAACGAAAATACTCAAATATAGAGAGATGAATGCATTACAACCAACCAAAAGGAAAATGCGTGCACATGCATTGCTTTAAAAGAACACAATACTATCCACTCAATGGTGCGCACCGACTTCACGTCCTTGCTTGAGCGACTGAACGCCCAGAACGCTTCCGACCGGTTCTTCCTTGAAGAAAGCCTCAATGAGTTCGGTCGTGAGACCGAAGAGGCCGAGGAAGGAGCGGACTACCCACACCCAATCAAGGACAAGGCCATTGAAGAAAGCGGCTCCGAGGGCTTCAGAATTTTGACCAACTTCAGTCCTAATGAATTTGAAACCATTTGGTCTGTAATTGAGAGTACCTTGTCATCGCGATGGAACGAAATTCGTGGACGAAAATCGAAAACCACCCCCAAGGACGCCTTCTTCGTGACGCTTGTCGTTGAAGCACTACCTCTCATGGGAAAAGCACGCCCTCGGCTTTTTTTGGCATGAAAGCACCTACGCTCGAAAAAATGGTCATGCGTGTCATTGAGTCGGTCCAACCTGTTCTGTACGAGCACTATGTGACCATGCCAACCATGGCCGAGCTTCGAGAAAAGGGATCCCTCTTTCGGAACAATCCGTACGCGAAATACGCAACTGACGTCAAGTTCCAGCCATCCAACCGCCCAACTGGTCGTTTTGGCGAGCAAAAGCACTACTTCAGTGTCAAGCATAAACTATACGGTCTCAAGATCGAGGCATCTGTCTCACCTGAAGGTCTCCTTGTCGACATGAGTGCGCACGAGCCAGGGTCGGTATCCGATCTACAATGTTCCGCGATCGACTCTAGGTCCACTATGCTGTCCTACAGAAGACCGCGGGTGAGTCAACAATCAATGACAACGGTGACCTTTTCCAAGACTTCCCTTCTTCGTGGGCTGTGTTAGTTGACAAAGGCTACGTCGGCCTGACTGCAGTCGCTCGTGCCGTCCACCCCAAGAAGCGTCCCACCAACGGTACACTCGATCGCGTTGACCTTGAACGAAATGCCAACATCTCGTCCGACCGTGTCATTGTTGAGAACTTCATTGGCCGGGTCTGTCTTCTTTGGAAGATCTCCTATGCAACTTTCGTTTGGGGCACCAAGAGTTACGATGCTACAGTCAACTTGATAAAAACTCGACAAAGTGGTACTCCAGGTTATATGGA